AAAAAAAGACAATAAAAACGGAGGAGGAGGGGGGGAGGAGGTGGAGGAGGAGGAGGAGGAGGAGGAGGTTGGGGAGGATGAGAAGGAGGATGTCGAGGAGAGAGAGGAGGATGTCGGGGACGAGGAGGAGGACGATGTCGAGGAGGATGAGGAGGCGGAGGAGGAGGAGGAGACGGAGGAGGAGGAGGACGTCGAGGAGGAGGAGGAGGAGGAGGAGACGGAGGAGGAGGAGACGGAGGAGGAGGAGACGGAGGAGGAGGAGGAGGAGGCGGCGGCGGAGGAGGAGGATGTCGGGGAGGAGGGGGAGGATGTCGAGGAGGAGGAGGAAGTTTAGGAGGAGGGCGAGGATGTCAAGGAGGAGGAGGAGGAGGAGGAGGAGGAGAAAAAAAAAAAATCCAATCGAACAAATCGATTGGATTGGATCTTGTTTTTGAAATCAAGATCCAATCGATTGGATTTGTTCGATTGGATAATGTTGTTGTTTTTTTGCGTGTTTTTTTTTTTCTTACTCGTTGATTGTCTGATAAAAAAAAACAACATGAAAAAAAAAAAAGACAACATAAGCGGAGGAGAAGGAGGACGAGGAGGTGGAGAAGGAGGAGGAGGAGGAGGAGGAGGAGGGGGAGGAGGAGGAGGATGAAAAGAAGTGTGCTTGAAGAAAAAAGAAGGAAAACTGACAAAAAAGCGGAGTCTTCCTGCCTTACTTCTTCTTTTCATTTTGTTCGCTAGTGCGCTCCCATCCACAGTCTGGCCATACTTCGATTGGATACTCTTTATTTTTTCGGGTTTTTTTTTTTTCCTGACTTCTTGATTGATTGTTTGATTGATTGATTGATTGATTGGGTGATGTAATTGCCCTTAGGGGCCTGTTGGCCGAGTTCATATCTTCATAACGGCTGACTCTTTGAACAATCGGATTCACTTTGTCTGCACTCTCACACTCGCATCCGTTTCAGCGCTTTTTCTTCTACTGTCGTCAGCAGTGACTTCTGCAGTACTCACTCCGGCACCGTTGTGCCACAGTCGTCACCCTGCTGAGAGCGCGAATCATCATCGTCTTCCTTGCACACAGGTCAGTCTTTTCCCGGCCTTCGCGACTTACAAAAACATTATGGCAAAAATACAAGAAAAAACCATAATATGAACAATACAAATATTAAAAACCCCGCTATTGTACACGGTTGGGGAACTGGGTGCCACTTACGACGGAATACAATAACAACGTCTTCGATTTCGGCCCCAACTTCCCAACCCCTCCATCATGTGCGATGCACAAGAAAAAAAAAAAGAGAGAGAGAGAGAGAGAGAGAGAGAGAGAGAGAGAGAGAGAG